AGATTTGAGAGGGAAATTGGGAGTTCAGTTTGGGACATGTTAAGTCAGAGATGCCTACTTAACATCCAAGTGGAGATCACCCTTGGTCATTTAAATATTAAATGGTTGGCTTCACATACCTGATCAGGGTTGGCAAATGCAAATGCTTTCAGGGGCCAGTCAGGAAACAAAAATAAGTACTGAAATGTAATAAGAAGAGGTAGGAACTGTGGCTGATGAGGGAGTAAAGGCTCCACCTTGAGCCCAGTCTACTGTTGCCATTTGGAATGTGGGCCCAGTGCTCCTACAACTTCCAGTATCTTCAAAGAGAAGACTTTGGAATTTTAACAACCAAACCTTAGGAAAATAAATTCCACAATCTACCAAATTCTAGAAGTGCTCAGTTAAAATTCTAACTGCAGGATTTATTGGTGTACACTGCAAAAAAGATTATGTTTAGCATTTTTCTAACTTACTTGACAATAAAATCCTCTCCTCATGCAACATCTCAAGGGACAAGCTTTCCTTGGTACATATTTTGGGAAATGTTTTATGCATAAGTCCTAGATGTCTAATCAACTTCTTTATTTCTTTTTTGGAAATTCTGAAGGATTCTTGCAGCTTATGAGTCATAGTTGATTACACACACACACACACACACGCACACGCACACGCACACGCACACACATACAGAGGGAATTTTGTTAGATGTTTTAACATCCACTATCAGACTTGATCGAAACATAAATGGAGCATTTACTAGTCTTCAAACTTGTTAAATACTAAGTGGAATCTTGACCTTGTCATTGGTGAAGAAATACTTGAGTGAAATCGCAGGGGCACCGAATCACTTAATTTCCCAACTCTTCTCATTACTTCACCGGTTGCACTGCATAATTTAGTGACAGGAAGGACAGCCAGTTACTACTATGCACTTGACAGACATTCTTTGTTTTATTTATCTATGAGGAAGGAAGAAGGGAGAGGACGAATAAATCTGGAATGGAAAATCTAATAAAAAGGCAAGACAAATATTATTACAAGTCTTTAAAAATAATCTCTAGAATATGTTAAAATATTTGAGGGGCAAGGCCTGTCTCTGAAGAATCAGAGAGCATCATCTGTGTAAAAGAACTCACAACACAGCGGAAGAGATAAGTACATAAGATAAACAATATAAAAATGTCAAATATTGTCAAATACGTTATATAAAAGTTCAGAGAAGGGACAGGGCAATGTGGGTTTGAGTGACCAGTGACATTGTCACATGAGCTTGTCCTTGAAGCATAGATAGGTATAAAGTCAACAGCAGGGTGGTGGGAATTCCACTCAGGAAACAAGTAAGGAAATACCAAGTACGGAAGTCTGGACTTAATTGTGTAGGTAACCAAGAGTCTTTGAAAGCTTCTGAGCATGAATCTGCCATATTAAGGAAATTCTATCTCGTGAGGTCATAGGGGAGATGGTGAGGCAAGAGCAGGATCCCGGGTTCAGGTGATGAGAGTCTGGACTAGGGAGCGGACAGTAGGAATAGAAAGAAATTACGATATTGTGGAGGAAATAATAGGACTCATTAACCTAGTGAATAGGAAAGAGATAAAGGAAAAAGGAATGACTGTTCCTGGGTCAATAACAGAAAAATTATCCTGACTGCAAACTGGTTTATACATATTGATTGAAGGTAACAGTGTTACATCTAGGTAGAAATGCCCAATTAATTAGTGACCTAGGACTAGAACCTGGAAATGACAGGCAAATAACATGCATTAAGGTACCACTGTATTCTCAAGAATATGCTTGATTCTTTACCTATACGATCAATTTAGGAGAGAAATAAGGATGGACTTTGCAACTTGGCACCACCTGCACAGATGTCCGTCAAATCAGGAGAGTGGTAACATTCAATGAAGCCTAATTTATCACACTTTCTTTCTCTATATCCCTTTACTATGAGAACAGTCATCACACAAAAATAGATGCATGTAAACAACACCACTTCATATCATGTCACGAGATCACTCAAAATTTCTGATTTCCATAAGTTAATAGAGGATTTAGGAAGTGATTGAGATAAGGAAGGAAAAACAGAACGATAACTGTTCTCTGTTCTTCTTTCCCTTGAGGGAAATGAACAGACACAAAACAGGAGGCAGGAAGGAACCAAAGGAGAAAGTATTTGGGCGAGTTTCCACCTGCTAAGAAATACAGGAATGAAAGCAAACTCTCTCCTTAATGGATAATAACTGTTTGAACAGTGTCTCTTAGTTTTCTAGAATTCATGATCAGTTTAGGAACATGTTATTTTATTCCCATCACAAAACTTCTGATTCACAAGCCAGCTAGGAGTCACATATTCTACCTTCCGAATCCCCCAGGCAGACTAGGGTCTCAATTTTTCGGTTTTGCATGCTGACCCTGGAGCTCAGGTGCAACAGGCAGAGCAGCAGCGCATGACAGATGTTTCTACAGCAGTCATCAGTCTTTTCCATTTGCCACAATTCTCCAGGGTGAGCTGGGTCGATCCCTTCCTTCCCATCAGCTGCCAGGAAGGTCATGTTGCTTAAAATGTCTCTCCATTTAAATGCCCAGGGCAAGAGAAAAATGAAGAAGCCATAACAAGGAAGGGCAGAGGGGCAGGTAGAGGGTAGACTAAAATTGCAAACTTAGAAAGCATCATCTCAGTATACAGTAGTTATTTGATATAGTTATGTTTTCATTCACGGTGCTCTTTACTTTATTCTACAAATACAATACAATAAAGATTATAACTGTGTGTAATCACAGATTTAGTTAATGGTATAATTGCTTCTAATGAACAGGTCATAGATATCCTTTTTGAACTCTACAACAAAAGAAACCAATGCCAAAAATTCCCCAAGACCCATATTAGAAATATCTGCCTTAGAATCTGTGAAAAATAGACACATAAAGAATCATTGATTTTTACAGATTCCCCTAGAATCTATTGCTAGAAATGAGAGACAGAGTGCTGGGAGGGTTTGCAGACCAAGGTTTCTGTAAAAAATGCTCACAGGAGTGCATTCCGACCATCTAGAAGAATGAATTCACATCTGGAACTGGCTGTCTCAAGACCTGAGTCTATACTACGGACTACTGAATAAGTGATGTTCATACTTCTTGAAACTAGGCAATATACTTTGAAAACATAAAAAAAGGGAGAGAAAAAAACCCTTGCAAGAATGTGCACTTATTGAATGTCTCCCCTAAAGGAAAGTTTTTATGAAAAGTTAACATCGCTTGCTTATTGTGAATTTCCAGTTACACAACAAAACTCCTATCATAAGATAATGTTATAATGGCAAACAGTAATACTGAGAAAAGTGCTAGACAAAACAAGCACGTGTTTTGACAATGAAGAAAATCCATACGACTAATCTCCACACAACCCTAGCTATAGCATAGCCACTGAAGTAGTAACCAATTAACTCCATAAGCAAAAATAATTTACAGAATTGGCTCAATAGTATAATTAAGCAACAATAACTTATATCCTCTATTGACTTTAAACATTGTCTGAGTTCTCACTGCCCTTATTCTCAGGTACTACAATTTTATTCATAACCTAATTGCTGAATGCTATCGGATTCTATGAAACAGCAAACAGAAGTCAGTGCTTCGCAGACAAGTGAGAGACTTGTAGGACAAAAATTTTGCAAGTTCAGATTCCTCTCTACCTCTGAAAATGAAGAGAGAAAGAGCAGAATATTCCAGTTCCGGAAGCTGGCTCCCGCTTCCAAGTGTAGACAGTGAGGCGAACCCTCTAGGGCTTCCCCTAGACACCCTTCCTGTGGTCTACACTCTGAAAGAGGATCCTAAATGGCCAAAGCAAGAACAGGATCTTTATGACATCGCCAGGCAGAGCTACAGAAATTAGTGAATTTTCCTGTGGAATAAAAACCTTCACAACAAAATTTCAGAATTGGCCATTCCATCATATCCTAATGGTATTGCATTTGCATAAAATAACAGAAGCCATTTTGTACTCTTCTCTTACCTGTCTACTGTCCCTTTGGGAGGATGTCAAAGAGGAGGCACTTCTATGGGTTGGAGTAGAAGTCTTATGAGCAGGGGATATGCCCTTCTCGTCTGAACTCATAGCTGCAGTTACAGTCTAGTTGTATGCACTTAAGACCATCCCAATTGTATCAAATTTAGACAAAGAAGTAGATGAGTTTTCAGCTTCAGTCCATTTCATAAACCAGGTCTGACTAGAAAAGAGAAGACAAATATTGAGGGTGTCGGAAACACTTAAAGCAAAACTAACAAACAAATAAAAACTCATGTCAATAATTTAAAAAACAAATTAAGAATTATTACATTTAGGAAAAAATACTAAAGCATTAGTGAGAGGAAGAACTCTGACACATTAGGAAATAATATTTCTTCCTCTAGATCTTACAGTGGAGGCTAAAGTGTTAATATGTAACAGACATCTGTCAACAAAGAAAATGGGAAGAAATCATATGCTAAAGTCATATTCTTCCCTTCTCTTTGTTTTAAAGCAGATTACAGTGCTATGTTCTGGACCCCCATACCAAAGTACAACAGTTTTTTCTGAAATTTAATTTCCCCTGCCCAATGGATTATAATAAGAGCTCAGTCCATGCTTGTCTTCAGTTTAGTTCAGCCACGTCATGTACATGATGGTTAAATCCAACACAAGGCAATCAGTCACAAAAGGCAAAAGGGCTCATGCTTTTTGTGCATCATGTGATCCAGCATTTAGGAGGGATCAAAGAACACATATATCCATGGTTATTCACACCTCAAGACTATAGCACACCTACATATGAGTCCCAATGCACCAACCAATAGGCTTGCGAGCATCTACAGATTGACAGGCAGGTCCCAGAACTGGGGTAACGCTTGGAGTTGCTTCACTTATCCACAGCCAAGAGCCACTTCATCTTTCACTTGTAGCCACATAAGGAAAGTCTACATTTTAAATACTAGGGATAAAAACTTGTACCTGAGAGAAGCGTTGTTCAGTTGGCAATATAAGTTGCTAAAAATTTTCTTTTTAAAAAAGGTAAGCATGATAGTGTAAGATGAAAAGCTTACATATCAATCTGTGACCCAAAAGATTGACCACTAAAGTGAACTACAACCTTTTCTAGGAAGATAGAAGGATTTACAGTCCCCATTGTAATGCTAATACTCCTTGAAGGAAGCATGAAACACTTGGGTAAGTACTTTAGCACAGGTGGGAAGAGAAAGCTGCTGGAGATGAACAGACATCAACCTCTGGGCCAAAGGAAAGTGAGACCCGCACTTCAGTCCAGAGGGAGAGACAATCGATCAAAAACTCAAAACTAAATGAATTAATGAATGAATGGATGAATGAAAACGAAGCTGCATGGGGTATTATGAGGATGCATGGCAAGGGAACTAACTGGGCCTGGAGGTCAGAGGTACCCTTAAGCAAGTGGTTTGAGCTGAGATCTGAAGGATAAGTAGGAGTTAACCAGATGCCTGGGTATCCAGCATGGCTTGATCAAGGAATTAGTGCTGACCAACAGGATCAGAGCCAGAGAAACAGAGAGTGATATAAGGGTCAAAGAAAAGCAGAGGCCTGGCCTTGCATGGCCTTGTTAGCCATGTTCAGCATTTTGATTTTTATCTTAAGCGTAAAAAGCCATAAAGGGGTGTGGTATAACCAGATTTATATGTTCAAAAGGCTACTTTGGCAGTCATGAGGAGAACCAAATTAGGGAAGTAAAGAAGATGAGGGGAGCCAATTCAGTAAGCAAGAGATAATAGACTAGAGAGGTGGTAGAAAACTTAGCACCTCGTCCTGTCAGTTGTGACAGGATATGGAGAAGAAGGAAAAGGCAGGGTTGCGGATGACTCCTAGGTTTCTGGCATTCTGAGCAAGGGCTGGCCAAGGGAAATCCAGGCTGACAGAAAGTCATGAGAATGGTTTTAGACATGTTCTCTTTGAGGTATGAATGAGGTTTTTAAATGGAGACAAACATTTGGAACGGTGGGTGGGAGCTCAGAGAAGTTTAGGTTGGACACAAATGTTTAACAGATTACGCTAATGACACAAATATATCGAATGATTTAAGTATTGATCATGTAACTCTGCACCTAAAAGTAAATTAAATTTTATACAAGCCTATATAAAATCTGTAACATTATGTTAACAGATTATGTGACCCTAAATATATTAATCAGGATTTTAATGGTCACTTGGTTATAGAGAATATTTGAAAGAACAATGCCAATAATTAAAAAGCAAATTATTATAAATTGGGAAAAGTGGACCTTCTAGTGAATAAAAATTGTCATCCTTTCTTAAGATTTCAACTTCATTGCCACTGTAGGAAAAATAAAAGCTACTTATTGCCAAAACTAGGAAGCTTTTTCTTGCAACAAAACTAGTTTTGGAGCCAAGAGAAATATAAAGAGCTGTAGAGCTCTGTGGTTGGCTCAGGATGAGGTTTCATTTATTTAGTATTGGCAAAAGGTAGTAGTAAGCCAACACTTGTTAGATAATCACCTAATCCTTTTGTTTTATGAAAGCAGTCTAACAAGTGTGAGTAAAATTTCTCAAACGAAGCTCTGGTGCCAGCAAACAGAAAGCAAGAACACTGCTGAGGTCCTTAATTTGAAGTACTTTGCTTCTGGTCCAAGATGTTTTCACAAGTAGATGCTGATATCTGAGCTGAAAGTATGGAAGTTCTGTGATGTGCTCAAGTGCCCCCAAGGGATGAGGTTGAGACGACCAAACTCATTAAACTATTATCCATTTGTCAGTAAATTCAATCCAAGCTACATCAAGGGCCAACATTTCCTCTGTTGTTCTCTTTTTTTCCTTAACCACATCCAACTGCACTTTCCTGATTAACACCAATGCTAACATCTTGGTGTATGTTTGAATTTAAAATGACATTTTCAAAGTAATTTGTCTATGATGAAAGCAACATTTTGACTGAATTACAATTATGAATATCTGGAATAATATCAAGGATGAAGAGAAGGTGATTGAGAGAGTTTAATTTATTCTAAGAATCATTTTTGAGGCTATTGTTGTTTCTATTAATTTTTGTGGTTTTTCTTTAACAAAAAAGATTTCAGGTACCTAATATAAGGTTAAGATGACCTTTAAAGATCATTCCAACCTAATTATTAATGAAGTGTTGATCACTTGCTCCATTTCAAAACGCATTACAAAAGTAAGTTTAAACTCTCCCAGTAGATTGCACCTCCTTATTCTTTACTCCTACAGTATAAGAATGACTGTGACATAAAAAAAAAATAATAATAAAATAAAAAAATTTCATTTCTATCAAAGCACATTTTCAGAAATTGCCTAAACAAAATTCTACACCCAAAAAGACCATAGATTTTAAAGTCAACACCAGCATAATTTTCATACTCAATGAGAAAAGCATTGTGGCTAAAGATAATAGCAATATGAAGGATGAACATCTAATTTTCCTGTCTCATTCTTCCTTCCTATCAATGGGATCACTACAATTGTTCCTAAGTGCTATAACATTTGCATTTACACGGGGGACCTCAAGTTCAAATACATGACCCAGAGACCTGACAAAAGCAAAGGTGACAGGGAAGACTTCTAGAACTCACTGTTTCACAGGCATCATAACTCGATTTTTTGTGTGTGTGAAACATAAGTTATTTATTTAACCAAAATGACAACAAACTATTTTAAAGACAAATATAGAAAGTTACATAGTTGCAAGCAAAATTCTAGTTTTTTAATATATTTTTTTCTTGAAAAAAAAATTTTTTTTTAATGGTGACATGAGTTAACGAAATCCAGTAAGTTTCAAGTATGTAATTCAAAAGTAAGGCATATATGTATTGCATGGGCATCATAACTTGTATGTGTATGTGTTCAGAAAAACATTGGAAACTGGAAGCTACTTAGCCTGGGTTAAGTTGTGATGTGGTAACAGTCCCCTAATCTCAAGAGCTTATATGAAAGGTTTATTTTTCATTCATTTACATGTCCTTTGGAGGTCAGCTGCAACCCTCTGTATCCTCTTCATCCAGGCTGAAGAAGCAACCCTCATGTGAAGAAGGAAAAGAGCTATGGCAGTTGTCACTTTCACTCACCTTTTTTTTTGCCAAAGCAAGTCATATGGCCAAATTGAGGTCAATCATGCATGAAAGTATAATTTTCCCAGAGGGCGAGGCAGTGAATACTAGGGCACAACAATATAACCTACTATATTTACCATAAAAAAAAAAAGATTAAAAGTATGGATAAAAATATTTAAAATGACTCTTAGTTCATCACCTAGTAATAACGACATCGACATTTTGATTTTACTTTAATCAAAGTAGGAGAAGGATGTCCATGTTATCTGCAATATGCTTTCTTCAATCAATATGATATTATGAACAAAGAAACTTTAATATCACCACCCTTAATGCTACATAAAAGGCCACCATACAGATATACCACAATACATTTAAGCATTCTTCTATTGGGAGATTTAGGTTGAAACCATGAGATTCATCATGGAAGAGTTTATAGTAACTGTATATTTACTTTTGATTATTAGAAAAATGACCCTCTGTTGCTTTTAATACTTTTCTGCTTTATGCGATATTGCCTACTCTCTTTTCTCTTTGCAAGTGATTAAGGAAATCTGTCCATCCTTTTACATTAAAACTTTGTATATCATTTTGTATTATGTGTTCCTTTAGTAATGATCATACTGAGTTGTTTTTCAAAAAATCTAATTTTAGTGAAGTTTTCTCATTTCCATTTAATGTTATAACTAATAGTTGGCCTTACTCCTGCCATATAATACTTTTTATTTTTGGTTCATCTTTGTTTCCTTTAATGCTTTATGGCTTTTTAAAAAATAATCTGCTTTTTCTTATAATACTGATTTTTATAAGGTTTTAACTGACTTTTATATTTGCCATTAATTTGAAAGATACAACTTCCCTTTTAAAATTCTATTCCTATTTCCTTTTAACTTTCTTTTAAATCATGCTGGAACCTACAATCTCTAAGTGACTCAATCAGGAGTAAAATGGCATCTTTCAAGTCTTCCCCTGGAAAATAAGGACTATACCTTCACCCCAAATCAAAATATTCTCCTCCCAGGCCTCTTGTCAACCTTGATGATTTAATCTGGAGTTGCAGAGAATTACACTCGGGATTCTGGGGCACTAGAGAGGAGCTGATACCACTTTTCAAGCCAGGGCCAACCAGGATCTCAAG